CTTCCTCCGAGGGGTGCTTCAAGGTATTCAACAGGAAGGTGTAAACACAGCTGTCTTCTGCCATTTGTGGTTGTACTGGCCTCATGTGTGCAGAAGAGGGGGACAGATGGTCCCGACACCGCACAGGCTTTCACAGACACAAATTTGTAAAAATAACAGGGCAGATGTTAAGCATGTTGAAGACACATTTTGGACCCTGAAGAGTTAAGATGAGGTTTGTATCTCAAACAGGATGCCTGAACTCTTGAGTCCTAGGAACTTCATACTTCTGTGACAGAATTCTAAGACACTGGTTACCTTCATGAGAAAACCAAATTTCCCAGTAAATAAAACAAAACGGAGCAGAACTAATTAAGGTTAAATAGCTAGACAAAAATTTAAAAATCCCATTCAGAAAACTATAACCAAATCCTTAGTTGGCTGGACCTCAGTGACAGGAAAAGGAAAAAAAATGACAATAGCAGTTCTGAGTACGGTCAATAAACACATCAGAAGGTGGTATAAAAACCAGTCATGATAGCCAGGCAGTAGTGCACACACCTCTAATCCCAGGACTCGGGAGGCAGAGGCAGGTAGAACTTTCTGAGTTCAAGGCCAGCCTGGTCTACAGAGCAAGTTCCAGGACAGACAGATTTTTTTTTTTTTTTTTTTTTTTTTTTTTTGAGCTGAGAACCGAACCCAGGCAAGGCAAGCGCTCTACCACTGAGCTAAATCCCCAACCCCCAGAAACCCTGTCTAAATCAACAACAACAACAAAAAGTAGTTGTGCAGGCTGGAGAGACGGCTCAGCAGTTAAGAGAGCGAGCAACTACGAGCCTGATTCCCAGCGCCTGGTCAGTCCCCAGCGCCTGGTCAGTCCCCAGCGCCTGGTCAGTTCCCAGCCGCCTGGAACCGCGCTCCAGGGAATCTGCCGCTGGCACCCATGACCCACGCACATATACATGTATCCACACACAGACACTCATAATTCTTTGTATGTTTGTTTATTTTCTCATCTAAGCAGAGTTTTCTCTGTGTAGCCCTGGCTGTCCTGGAACTTGCTATGTAGACCAGGCTAGCCTCACACTAGATTCACCTGCCTCCCCCTTGAGAGTTGGGAGTAAAGGCGGGCGCCACCCTCACCTAGCGTCACATAATTTTTGAAAGAGCAGTTGCGATGGTGACAGCAATTTGTAATCTCAGAACTCATTACTGAGTGACAATATCCACAGTTCAAGGCCAGCCTGGGACAATTAACAAGAAACTATTAAAATAAAGAAATAAACAATAATGATTTTCTTAAGAAAAAAAAAGAAAGAAAAAAACCAAGTGTCTTAAGTGAACTAACGTGCAATCCAGAAATGGTCAGATAAACTACAATCAAGGTGTTATCAGTCACTATGCCACGTGTCACTATCAGGAAATTATAGGACAACCCCAGAGCTCTATCATAGAAGTAGAACTCATTACAGACAACAAATATTTGTACTTATTAAAAACAATTAATGAAATTCTTCTTTTGATGACGTTAGTGTGGCCCTGTAGGAGATTTCTTCCTCCAAGTTTAGGATGGAAGACAAGAAGGAAGGGGTTATTGATCTGAAATTTATTCTGAAAAGATTAGAAAAGTGTCATGTGTTGACGCATGAAAGAATGTTAGCATTTTTAACATCTGGGAGGCTTGGGTAGAGAAGAATTCTTGTCACCAGACTTCACTATTTCGCTAAAATTGAAACTATGTGTCAAAAATATTAGAATCAAGGGCTCATTTTAAGACAAGTAAGTTATTTTGTAAGTTATTTTGTCACAACACCTGAATGCAGTACATTCTTAAAGGAATTTAAAGCCATAAAACATATAAGGGCTGGAGAGATGGCTCAGTGGTTAAGAGCACTGACTGTTCTTCCAGAGATTTTGAGTTCAATTCCCAGCACCCACATTGTGGCTCACAACCACCTGTAATGAGATCTGGTGCCTTCTTATGGTATGCAGGCATACATGCAGACAGAAGACTGCGTACATAATAAATAAATAAATAAATCTTTTAAAAAAAAAAAAAAAAAACACAAAACATGTAACAGGACCTGAGACTTGATGAAGTGCTGAGCCTGTTGGAGAGCGCAAGCATCATACACTGTGGTGGCCTGAATTAGAACTCCCCCCACTCGTGTGTTTGCCTGCTTGGTCCCCAGTTGATGAACTGTTTTGAAAGGAGTGGGAGGTGTGGCCTTGTTAGAATACCTGTGTCACTGGAAGTGGACTTGGCGGTTTCAAAAGCCCAGGCCAAGCTCTACGAGTCTCTCTCCTTGCAGATCAGGATTGAAAGCTCTTTCTTAGCACCATGCTGGCCCGTTTGCTGCCACCCTCCTGGCCATGACTGATCAAAACTGTAAGCCAGCCCAATTAGCTGCTTTCTTTTGTAAGAGCTGCCTTGGTCATGGCTGTCACTTCACAGCAAGAGAGCAGTGACTATGACATTTACTAATGTGGATTTCAAGGCACACAGAATTTCTCCAGTGAGTGCAGGGACCAGGCTGCAGCTGAGGGCAGGGTGCTCGCTTGCTTGCGGGGAGCCCTGTGTCTCGTCCAGCACTACAATGGAGACAATAAAAACAACCACAACAAGGACACAGCGTTTATACCCCACAACTTTTTGTGTTTACTTTCCTTTGTTTTTGTTTTGTTTTTTGAGACAGGGTCTTTCTACATAGCCCTGGCTGTCCTGGAACACAGGGATCCTCTGCCTCTCAGTGCTAGAGTTGAAGGCATGCACTACTGTGCACAGCTCTTCATTTTTTATTTCATTTTGTAAGTGTGGGCATGTGGCCCACATGTATGTCTGTGTTCCATGTGAGCGAAGTGCCCATGGAGGTCAGAAGGGGTTGTCGGGTACTCCAGGGCTGGAGTTACAAGTGGCTATACAAATCTGGGAATGTGGGTGCTAGGAACTGATCACATGCTCTCTGGAGAAGCAGCTGGTGCTCCAGCCCCACAAGTTTTTAAAAAGATAAGGAAATGGGAAATTTATCAAAGTCCATAGAAGATCTCCAGATGCTGACAGCTTATCTACCTGACGCTGTCCTGGCAGAGGGTGGGAAAGAACAACAGTGTCGTCAGGAAATTTTCAAACATGGAGAAAAGAAAACAGACATCCCAACTAGATGCATAAATGCATAGAATTAAACTCTAACATCCTGTCTTCGGGTATTTAACATGTCTGCGCCAATCTCAAGGTTGTTTTAGGAAGTCTATGAGAGAAGGAGAGCTAATTCCCTGAACTGGACCAATATACCTGTGCTAACATCAAGAAATGGGCACTTCAGAAACCAACACCTCTATAGCTTGTTCTCATGTCCCCAGGAACCGCAGGCACCATCTTCTCACACAGTCCCCTCACTCTGAATGTACAATTCAACCACAGGGACACTTAAAGATGCTTTCACGTAGACTCACGAAAGACAACATTTTTAAGTACTTTATAGAATTTACAGTACTGGAGTAAATAACAGACAATTACATTCAGGCCAACTCCAGCAAGTCAAAAAAAAAAATCAAACAAACAAAAAAAAACCCTTTACAATTTCGGTTCAAGACTAAGGACCATTTTTAACTCAGAAAATACACTAGTACAAAGTAGGGGGGGAAATCAACCAGTAATAAATCAAGGACAAATACCCTTCAAAATTCATGGCATTTTCAGTCAACATATCTTAAACTAACTGAAAAAGAAAGTAAACACACTTAAAATTGCACTTCTACTGAACCCAAAGAGCTATATTACATGATATACAGGTCAAAGAATGGCATAATAAACTGTGATTTGGGAAGTAGGTTTCCAGGATGTTTTTTTTTCTCTTCTTCCCCTTAATACGTTCTAAACTCAGCCTGCTTCTGTCAACAGGCCCACCTTACACATGAACACCATGTCACCTAGGTTGAGGGTTAATTTCTATGTGACAGCAGTAGTGCACGCCTTCAACTCTATCATCAGATTCACGTGGGAACCTTAAGTATTTTTTTCTAAGAAAAGTGACTTCTCTAAGGACTTTTATATTAGCACAGTATCAACACAGTGGCCAGATAATTTAATCTATTTTCCCCCCATGGGGGAGACCCTAAGGACTATTTGAGGCCAAGACAGGGATTTCTCCAAACTATTTTAATATGGAATATTAACATACAGTTTGTTCCATTTCTAATCCAATTAAATACTAGGATTGTACATTGAGAAAAAAAATAACTTGGCTATAGAAATAACTACAGAAGTAAAAATTTAATAGTCCAAAAATGTATGGTCATTATCACCATATAATTGAATAGCTAATAATATCAGACATATAGTAGTTTACTTACAGGTGCAAAATCCATTAGTTTATATTTAAGTGGAGAACCTTTTTAACATCTTAAATGAGCACCGAAAAGAATTCAAGAACATTATGAAGTCTCTAAAAATGTTAGGAGCCAATCTTGTAAAAAGCCCAAGTCTTAGTACACTGGTTTCCAGCTATGTGTAATAGTTCATTATCCAGATAGTAACAATAGATTAATAATGTAAACATGTTGGTTTAATAATCCACATAAATAAGTGGGTGCATTTCATAAACTTATTAAAATACGATCTCATTTAGAAAACTTTTGTTAATATTTATATCTGAAAAATGTGGGCAATGTGTTTAGATGCCAATCATGTTGGCAAGAGCCAAGAAAATCAAACTGTACAATCAGACAATGCCACAAAGCAGAAAGTGTGAGTGAGAGGAGAGGTCTGGTTTTTATTAGCCAATACTAGTTTTCACAACTTGTCACTGCTTTGTCTCTTCCTATGGATGTGTGTATATGACTGTGTGTGAGCATGTTTGTGTGCGTTCTGAACTTGGTACTAACTCGGCTGCCACTGAGTCTCGTGTGGGCTGGAAATGAAGGGCATAATCAAAACCACACAATGAGAAAAGCACGTTCCACTTTCATCCAGTCCACCCTCTACAGCGGCTGTGGGAATGGCATCGAGCGCCAAGCCTTACCCTGTTCGTTTGGTGATGGTCCCCAAGGTCATTGGCTGTTTGATTTGTGCAAGAGGCGTGACTACCATCAGGCTGGGGAGTGGGGAGAGCCGGGGGTTGCCAGGGTTGTTGTTGGTGAAGTTATTGTAAGAGTCTTGGCTGTTCAGCTTCCCTACAAGAGAAAAGCAAACCAAAGGTTTTCATTTGAGAAAAATCAAGGGCTGGGGGAAATGACTCAGTGGGGAAAGGGACTTGCTCCAGTGCCCAACACATGCAAATAAATAAGATTTCTTCCTTCCTTCCTTCCTTCCTTCCTTCCTTCCTTCCTTCCTTTCTTTCTTTCTTCATTCATTCATGTTTTTCGAGACAGGGTTTCTCTGTGTAGTTTTGGAGCCTGTCCTAGAACTCACTCTGTAGACCAAGCTGGCCTCGAACTCACAGAGATCCGCCTGCCTCTGTCTCCCGAGTGCTGGGATTAAAGGCGTGCGCTACCACCGCCCAGCTAAATAAGATACAAATTTTCAAGGAAATTTATGAAGTATAAAGAAAGTCATAGGCTGTATAAAGAAGTATAAAGAAACTCATAGAAACCGACATTACCAGGCCATAGAAATGACAATGGTGACTACAGTCTTAGAGCTTGCACATGGGCTCTTGGCTTTCACTTTGTATGCATGTGCACACAGGTACATGCATGGATGTATACACGAAAATGTCAATCAATGCCAAGCACCTTCCTCAATCACTCTTCATGTTAGTCTAAAATAGGGTCTTGGAATGAACCCAGCTTGCTTGAATCAGCTAAGGCAAGCCAGTGAGCTCTAAGTGAGCTCCCAATACTGGAATTATCCATCTGTGCTGCTGGAGATAGCTTTTTACATAAGTGCTAGAACTCGGATGTGCACACTTATGTATCAGCAATTTACTGGATCTCACAGCCCCCAGAATTCTATGTTTCTAAAGTAGTTTGGTTTTCTGCTCATCCTTAGCTGGGCCACTGTTCTGACAAAAAAAATTTACTATTCCACCTGTACTCTAAGAGTTTCTAAAAGAAGCTGCTTGTCCTTTTGATGGCTATTGAGTCGAATCTTCTGAACTACATGAGAAGTGTTCATAATTTTCCCTACCTAGGGGATCACACCTACAGATTCAATGAACTGTAAAACAAAAAAATGCTGTTGGGGCAAGAATTGCAGAAAGTTCTAAACCCCAAGATTTGAATTCACACTACAACGAGTACACTGTGAAGACATGTCCATGGAGTAGTGTACAGACATGTCTTGTGGTGAAGACATGTCAATTGAGTAGTGCACAGACATGTCCTGTGGTAAAGACATGTCCATGGAGTAGTGTACAGACATGTCCTGTGGTGAAGACATGTCCATGGAGTAGTGTACAGACATGTCCTGTGGTGAAGACATGTCAATGGAGTAGTGTACAAACATCCTGTGGGAGGCCCCTACGGTTTTAGAGATTCTCTAAATTAGAATTCTCTCTAGGCATGACCTTATTCATGTATTGTGCAGTTAGGCCAAGAGGCCTATGGTGACTGTATCAGTCCTCAAGCTTGCTATGTAGCTCTGAAAGATAAGAATGGCATCTTCTAAATTCTGTCAGGAAGATGGTGACTTCCAAAGCAGGACACAGCTAAGGAAATGCTGCTCCTCAGGGATACAGGTCTATCTGTTTCTATCACTGCAATTAACAAGTCAAGTTAAGGTAGGGCCAACAAGAAACTCGGGCACAACAATCTCTACCCCCCCTATACTAACATGTTCCAATTTCATCAAAGCCAGTAGAAGCTAATCACACCTACTGCTGGGATACAATAGGCAGCAGTGACATACACACAAAATGCCTTAGCTGGACAATTAATCAGACAATATTATATATAGAAAACAGAGAACAATATAGAAAAAAATGAATGGAATAGAATAAAAGAAAAAACCCTTGAGTCACTCAGAGAGACTTATATTCTCAAGGTCAATACAGACAATAGTTGACAATTCATTATCAGATGACTATGCTTGTATTGAGATGAAGATCCAACATTAATATGTCACAAGCTAATAAAGTCCAGGATCTGTGGATGTCACATACATTTGTCAGCTAGTGAGCATGGATCTGATGAGTGCCTCAGCCTAAGATAACATGCTGTGGGGGCTGGAATCCCTCTTTACCACAAAGCTGACAGGACACAGAATGATTCAGTGCTAACTGTCTAGAACTGAAGATAAGTACATGTGGGAACAATTATTTGGAAAGAGACCACATGGGAGGTAACCTAGTTAGATAAAGAGTGGGCGAGCAAGGAGACTCAAGGACTGAAGGATAAAATAGAGGCAAGGTGTGTGCAGGGATGCCATTGCAGGAGCAGGAGTCTCTAAACACTACGGATGAGGTGTATCAAAGTGGGGAGATAAACTTATTTCCCTTTTAAGATCCCCAACAACCAACCAGTCTGCCTGCCTGCCTTTCTCCCTCTCTCCCAACACTGCATCCTAAGCTGGCCTCTAAGCATTGCATTTACAAGTGTGTCCTACACTACCACGCCTAGAAGGAACAGTACACACTAACACAAACCCTTCAGCAAGCAAACAACGCAGATGTTGACCTCATTGAACACTATTGATAAGGTATTTAAGCTGGGAATGTGCCTTAGTGGGAGAGCACATGCCTAGCACAGAACTCTAGAATGGGAAATAAAACAAAGACAAATAAATGGTGAAAAGAAACATAATGTGATTCACTGAGATGTTCTCAATGGGTGCTTCAGCTGGCCATGACTCAACAGCTTCACTTTCTCTCTAGGATACAGGACCGCCACAGAATAGCACAGAACAGCACAGAAGGTACTAGAGGCTCCGGAGCCTCCTTCTGCATGGTCAAGCACTGGCCCAGTGTCCATAGTGGCCTCTCCCCTAGGCTCTGGTTAAGCTGCAGCCTCTGTCTGTGACACAGTATCCAAGAGTGTGTAAAGTAGGTTATGCAGACTTTACGTTTGTGTTTGTGTTAACAGGGCAGGCAGAGTGGTAGTATCTGTGTTACATAGTTTATAAACATAGCTGCCCTCTTTTTTTTTTTTTTGGTGGGAGGCAGTCCTAGAGATCACATACATGTCCAGTAGGCAAGCAAGTACTCTCCCTCAGAGCTATAGCTGAGCCAAGCATAGCTTAAAGAAAGAGTAAATGTGTTCCACAAAGGCTCAGTAATTCTGTTTTATATAATAACCAAGTAGAATGTCTGAATTAGAAATCAGCACATTAACTAGAAAGCCTATTTATAATAGCTGTTAAAAATATCTCAGGGCAGGGGATGGAGATCAATTGGTAGAGTATTTGCCTAGCATTACACAAAGCCCTAAGTTTGATCCCCGTCACCACATAAACCAGACAAGGTGCACATGCCTGTGATGCCAGCACTTGGAGGATCAGAAAGTTTAAAGCATTTCTTAGCTACATACTGAGTTCAAAAAAGCCTGGACTACATAACATTATCAGAAAACAGAAATGAAGATAGAAAAGGGGGGAGGGAGAAAGGGAGTGAAAGAAAAAACATCAAGGAATAAATTTAGCTCAAGAGAAGAAAGATCTCTAAAACGAGAGCTACAGGCTGGGAAGCAGTTCAGCAGTGGGACGTTTGCCTAGGGTATACAATATGCTGGGTTTAATTCCCAATGCAGCAAACAAAGAAAAAAGAAAAAATGTTGAGAAAAGGAAATAAAAAATCAAAAAAGGTATCTTATGCTTGTGGTTTAAAAAATTCAGTATCATTAAAGTGCCCTGCTTCTCAAATCAAGTTGGATGCAATCCCTATCAAATACCTACGGCCTCTCAGAGCTAGGAATGAGAATTTAAATACCAAGGATTGAATCTCAAAAGCTAAGGAATACCCAACAGCTTCTTAAGCAAAAACAACCAAGTAGGAAGCAATGCATAAGCATGGGTGTGAAGAAGAGGAAGTCTTGCAAAGCCCTTGCATGGCCACAAGGCGACTCAGAACACCTGTAACTCTAGAGTCAGAGGACCTGATGCCTTCTCCTGGCCTCCATGGGCACCAGGTACACACATGGTACACAGACATATATGCAGAAAAAACATTCATACACATAAAATAATAAATAAAACAAAACTAAGTAAAATTCTGCTTTCCCCCTCCCCTTCAAATATGCATACATTTTTATATCTCCGTGGACTTGGGAGGTAGCTCTGTGTGGAAAGAGCTTGCCTTCAAAGTATGAAAACCACAGTTCAAACCCAGAAACCATGAAAAAAATCAGTGAGTGTAATGATAGGGGCTTGTAATCTCAGCATGGGGGGGGGGGGGGGAGACAGTAAGATTCCTAGAGCCCAGTGCTCTAACCTAACTGGTGAGTTCTAGGCCAAAAGAGACACTGTCTCAAAGGAGGAATGTTGTGTTCCTCTGGATAACCTATGTGTGCCCCCTCCATAGGTGCATAAATGTGAATGAATAAAATTTAAACTAGAAAAAAAGGAACATACATATATGCTAACAAAATAATGGACAAGGATGAGGTGAGTTAGTGACCCTGGTAGTCTTCGACAGGAAAGGCCCACTGCACAGGTGGAGAAGCCAAGTGTTAGGTAAGGGAACCCTAGACAGGAAATGTCGACGATGGTCACAGGTGCGGAGATGAGATTTAATGACTGAGACTGCAGAGTAGACACTACCAACACAGTGTGGGGCTGATTGGGGTCACACCCCGTGCTCAGTCCTGACCAGCAAGTCTAGGAGACTTTCAGTGTCTTCATCACATGGTGGTGGAGGAAGGGAGGAAAATGAACAGATGATGGGAAAAACACATCCCAAGTGACAGCTGAGAAACAGCTCAGAGACAAAGAGAAGGAGTTACTGTGATCGTTATAAAGGACCACTTAAAAAAGGAAGATGAATCACATAAATTTTGTACATATAGGAGTTTGCAAAGGATAAAAAGAAAGATGAATGAATGATAATCAGGGGTTAGCCAAAACGAGGGACAGTCCAAACAAGAAACTTCAGTAGCAGACACAGTGATCTACAGTTCAAAAAGCATTTGCCAAAATAATTAAATCTACTTTTGAGAAGAGGGGGTGGGTCCCTGCAACAGTACGGAAAAATATTTTGGAGGAATCTCCAAATACTTGAGAAAACTACTCCAAATGTGGTAGC